GATTTAGGGAGATCAAGATCACCTGTGACCTGGGCTGTCTGAGTTCCTGGGAGGAAAACAAAGTCCCACAGGTATGTTTGCATCCACCCTAATGTCACCAGCTCCTGTGCACAGAGCCTGGTACAGGGTAGGAACTCGGTGAGGCAAATGGATGGCATTTCTTTTAATTATAGCAAAGTGACATGAGCCATTACCGGAGAGACCAAGCTTAGGTCAGAGAAGCAGAAATTGATGATATTGATAATACAGGGTTCTCTGCTCTTCTGGTAATTTACAGATTAAAAAAATGCACCGTGGCTGGAATCAATTCCTGAAATCAAGACCTTCTTCACTGATCCCTGCTCCTCAAGCCTGCTGCTTTCCCAAATAAGCACAAGGCCAGGGCCTTAAGACACTAAGGACACGGCCTTCTGTTTGGGAGCTGTTTTCTGGGTATTGTCTCTCTCGCGCCAAGTACCACCGGGAATGCTGCAAAGTACTTCTCAGAAGTACCTTTATGTCTTGGCTCATTTTCCAAGAAAAGGACAAGAGGGACAAGGGGGACTTTCGACTGTGGGAAACCAGAGTAAATAAGGATGGAATAACACAACTTGTGTTATTCTTCAGTGAAAGTTTAGAGGAGTCTTGCATGTAAATGGCCACCAGGGGGCACTGTTATTCTCTAAAAATGCTGCTGGAGGGAGGGGATAGTGTGTGTGTGTGTGTGTGTGTGTGTGTGTGTGTGACATATATGCACACACGTGTGTTGGAGTGAGAGACAACTTCCCTCTCATCCACTCTCCTCCACTCAGCCAGGTAGCCAACCCCTCCCTTGACTTCCACCATCTACCCACACCCTCTCCTCCATCATCCCTCTTTCCCATTCTTGGTCAGAAAGGAGCAGAGAGGAGCAAGAAAACCCAGCAAGATCATGAAACCAATATCGAATCAAAAGATATTCCCCAGGACGCCTCGGGAAGAACACCGAGGTGCCGTGCCTCTCGCCTTTGTTACCCCATCCCCTTTCCGTGCCCCGCCCCCATGCCTCCCCAGCTCCTGATGGCGATGCTTCCTTGCTTTGCAAGAAGATGGTCCCATCATCCTGGGAAGATGCTTGTAGGCATCTTCCTTTGAAAAGAGAACTCTGAACAGAGTGAAGACCTCAGGAGAATCATTCTTAATGATGGCTCTTCGGATACATTTCATGTCAGACCATCTGGATCTAGAGGATACGCTGCAGGGAATCTTCCTTTTCCCCTAAAATTACACGAGCATGGGAACAGCCATCTCCTCCGTCTTTGTTTCAAGTAGTTCTCCTCGGAGGCTTTAAAACTCCAGCCTTGCCAGAGAACGTGGGCAGTACAGTCAGGACGGCGAGCCCTAGAGGAGCTGCAAAAATCATTGATCTTTCTCCACCCTGCTTAACAGGCATTAAAAGCCGTGCACTGAAGGACTGCCTCCAGCTGATTTCAAATGCATTGACATAATGGACTTGTCTTCATAGAACAAACCTCTGGGGACTCAGGCTAGGCAGACCATTTATAATACCGTCAGGATGCAGGACAGACCGCGGATGCTTTGGAGAGAGCCTGTATGTTGCTGCGTGTTTTGAGTTCGAATCCAGACGGCACCGTCTAACTGCTGGGTGACCCTGGGCACATTACTGAACCGCCTGAGGTTCCATCTCTGTGAATCGAGGTTAGTAATCCTGGTGCACTAGCTTATGGTGAGCCATGGAGAAAACAGAGGTGCATTCCCAAGGCCAGAAGGTCAAAGACAGTATTACTAATTCTTACTGAGCACTGGGCCTATGTGCCACGTTCAACACACATGAATTATCTTAATCCTCATAACAACCCTACCTGCAGGAGTTGGAAGTGAAGGGCTTTGTGGGCTACTGAACTGTCTGAGGACCGTGGTGCTGGCAGGCGTGAGAAAGATGCTGGTCTAAGGGTACCATTCCTCCCTGTGAAAAATGAACCGGGATCTTTCCACTCGTGGGCAGGTTGGGGGGGTAGGTTCAATGTGGGCTCGCATGCTCTGTGCTCCTGGGCCCTGGGTACTGTCAGTGATGCTCCAACAGTAAAAAGGCACCTCATGAATGGGTGACAGTCTCCTCAACGTGACACTGAATGCCATGACATCTTCCAGGCTGAAACAACAGTCCATAAGGAAACGGCATTGTGGGAATTATTAAAAACAGCAGGTTGTGTCTCCAGAAGACATTTATTTTATTCCTAAGGGATGTAAATCGCGTTTGTAAAGTACACGAGCTTCTTCCTCCTTGGGTGTGGTAGGGAAAAGTGGTCACTTTTGTAGCAGCTGTGTCTCTAGATCTGGAAGCTCACATCCTTAAGTACTAAGAAACCAAACATTACTAGCGACAGAAGCTCTCTAAAGCGGAGGGCATATCTGGTTCACAAAGTGCGCTAATATCTTTAGCCCTGGATGGTCTTATTGAGCCCCCTCAAGGCCACCTGAACTTTTACTATCCTGACAGAAAACTGAGACTAGAAAGAGGATGGGAGGTTTTCCTTTGTTTTAGCAATGTGTGTGTGTGTGTGTACACGTGCGTGCGTGAAGGAAATAAAAGATAAATGTGAAGAAGGAATGTGGGGAGAGTTGAATAAGGCGCAGGAGGGAGGGGGAGAAAGGACCACAGTAAAACGGGGATAGAAGATGGTGCAGTCGGAGGGCGGAGGATGGCGAATCCTCGCGGTAGACGGGGCCGTAGTGGGAGAAGCATTAAGAAGCTCCGAAAATAGAAATGCTAAGAAGAATACTCGGTCGTTTAGACAGGCTGGTCAGAAAATGCCAAGTGTGGGCTCTCGGGGCTGGAGGCCAGGACGGGCCGCCAAGCAGGGCCGTCGGGGAGCGGCCGCCTCCTCGCATCCAAGGGAAAGCTCGCCCGCCCGCGAATGCTCTCGAACGCCTCCTCCCGCTGCGCGCTGCCAAGTCGGCCTGCAGCCTCGTGTCGGCGCGTAAACAGCGAGCCCCGCTCTGCCCGCAGGCCCCTCCGCGGCCGTCCCCGCCCAGGGCGGGTCCAAGGACCCCGAGGGCGTCCCACCGCCTTCTGGCGGCACGCGCCCGGGGGTCCACAGCTCCGCCGCGGCTGCGAAGGGAAGGCCCGGGCAAGGCTGCTCCCCCCTTCCTTCCCCACGGCCCTTCCCAGCGGGGGCCCTTCCCAGCGGGGGCCCTCCGCACAATGGAACCGGGCCAGGCCCCGTTGCTGAGGGAACCGGCAGCCGGCCCAGCCCCCTTCCCCGCCGACGGAGCCGAGGACGAGAGCAAAGGATTAAAGCGCCCTAATCGGCCGGCTTCAGAGGAGGCCGCGGGCCCGGCCCGCGTGAGGTGGCGGCTCCCCATTGGCGCGGAGGCAGCAGGAGGCCGCACGCAGCCTCGTCCCGCGCTCCCTTCCGCCCCACCTCCGCGGCCCCTCCTGGACCACGAACCCCCCGGAGGCGAGACCGCCGGGTCTGCCCCTCGCGCGGGATGGGTCGGGGGGCTGCCCGGCTTCACCCCTCTGACCTCTCGGGCGCCTGGAATGAAGGAGGAACTGGCTGCCTCAGTGAGAGACGCGCTTTTGTTTGGTCCTGACTCGCTGTAAACGTGCCTGCATGTGAGTCAGGGCACCTACCTGCAGCTGAGGCGCGGCGAATGCACACAAGCGGTGGGCCTCCGTCCGGGCAACCGCCCCTTCCCCTCTGCGCCCCTGCTCCCCAGATGCGAGCGCAGTTCTGCGGGGAGGAATGGCGGACGGGCCTGCGAGGCCTTCCTCAGAGCCTTTGCTGGGGGGCTGCTCGCCCCTCAGCTGCTCATGGGGGGACGTGAGTCACGTTTTCAAAATATACATGCCCGCCCCCGCTCTCCACCCCCCCGCAAATTCAGCTTCAGTGAGTCTGGGGTGGGACTCAGGGAAGGTTTTTGGGGGGTTTTTTTGCCCTGTGAGGCATGCGGGATCTTAGTTCCCCGACCAGGACCAGGGATGGGACCCGTGTCCCCTGCAGTTGGAAGCGCGGAGTCTTAACCACTGGACAGCCAGGGAAGTCCCAGGGAAGGTATGTTTTAAGTGCCCAGGTGATTTTAATGATTGTCTGGGCTGAGAACCACTGGGGCTGTTTGACATGAGCCAGCGGAAACTCAGCAGGGCCGCCTGGCTTGTCCGAGCGGACACTGCCAGCAGGAGACCTTGGACAACACAGTTCCTTTGACTTGAGCACAGCGTTCTTTCTGTCATATTCCTTTTTCTGCTTTAAAAAAAAATGTTTCTTGAAAGTAACACAGATACTATTTAGGAAATGTATATAGAAAGGGATAAAGAAGAACATTAGATCACCCGTAAACCCTCATTATCCAGAGTTACACACTGTTAAACATTTGGGGTTATCTTTTCATCTATTTTCACATATTTAATTTACAAAAAGGTTAGACAGAGTATACAGTTTTATGCCTTCTTTTTTATTCCTTCGTAACCTGAAAGGTGGCATGGGCTTCTTAGACACGGCTGGACAAAGTGTGAGTGGGCAATTATTTTAGCAGGGTGCTTGGCAACGTGTATCAAGAATATTTTTTAATGTTCACCTTTCAGCCCACTATTCCATTTCTAGGAATCGCTCTTCAAAGAATGATCAGATGCATGCAAAATTTTTTTTACAGAGACTCTCATGTTAGTGTTACTTAAAATCACCAAAACTGGTGACTTCCCTGATGGCGCAGTGGTTAAGAGTCCACCTGCCAATGCAGGGGACACAGGTTCGAGCCCTGGTCCAGGAAGATCCCACATGCCACGGAGCAACTAAGCCTGTGCCACAACTACTGAGCCTGCACTCTAGAGACCATGAGCCACAACTACTGAGCCCATGTGCCACAACTACTGAAGCGCATGCACCTAGAGCCCGTGCTTCGCAACAGAAGCCACCACAATGAGAAGCCCATGCACTGCAACAAAGAGTAGCCTCCACTCGCCGCAGCTAGAGAAAGCCCGCATGCAGCAACGAAGACCCAACGCTGCCAAAAATTAATTAATTAATTTTTTTAATGTTTTTTAAAAAAATCGCCAAGATTATCAACCTCATCAAGGTACAGTATTACAGCGATAGTTTAATAAATTGTGGTTACTCATGAGATGGAATACTTGATGGTCATTAAAAATCACGTTTTCAAACAATGTGTACTGGCCGTGATAATCTTTCTTTCCCACGGTCCCTCTACACCCTGGGATGTTGGTCTTTGAGTGAGTCTCACAGGAAGATCCCACCTCTGGTTCTACTGGTAACCCCTTTGGATGCCACAGGGCCATCGATCTCCCCTTTCCTGATCGCTCATAGCATTTATTCTCAGTACCCAACGTTTTGGCAGTTCTTTCTTTTTATTATTATTTATTATGCACTACTTCTACTTGCCATCTGGTGTACGTGTATGAATGTGTATCATGTATGAATGTGTGGTTGTGTATATATATGTAAGAGAGAGAGAGAGCTCAGGATTATAAATTGTTTGAGGGCAGAGGCCATGATTTCCACATCTTCATTCTTTGCCAGCTCTTCGGTTTCAGCAAAGCTAAAACTCAATTTGTCATCCTCAATTCTGATCCATTTCTACTAACAACTTTCTGAGTGCATAAGACATACTTCTCTCCTTCTGCATTACCAATTCTTTAGTGGTATCACCTAAACCATTCTCCTTTGGGACGCTCAGATGCAAATTTTTGGAACCGTTGGTCATTGGATCGTAACACTGGTTTTCCTTTCAAGTCTTGGCATGTGTCTTTCCATTCCCACTGCTGCCACCCTAGGCAGCATCCCCATCACTTCCCTCCTGAACAATTCTATCCCTCTGCTGACCCATCTGCTTATGGCCCCTTGTGCCTTCAAACCACCCAATGTCAATCACTTATGTAAGTTCTTTTTATCCTGTCACTTCTACTCAAAAGCCTTCAATGACCACTTTTAAAGGGCCATTATTAAATGAAGTGCTAACTTTTTATCTTGGCATGTGGGTTCCTCCTTTACTCAGTCCCAACCCATCCATCTTCCTGTTTTATATCACACAACTTCCTAATTAATATACCTGACTCCAATTGGTATATGCACCAACCCCAGGACACAGTCTGTGTTCTCATGCCTTCTCCACTTACTAGCTGTGTAATCTTGGATAATTTGCCTATCTCTTTCATCTCTGCCCCTCATCCACAGAGTGGGGGTAATACTAATAATATCTGCTTTATAGGATTGTTTTGAGAGCAAAGCTGACGCATGAATGCCACGACTGTCATTGATCTGCTCACAGCATTGCACCTGGACACAACTCTGCGAGGCAGCGCCTATCGACTCCAAGTACTGTCAGCTGAGGTGGACCAATCGGGCTGAAGGGTCTACTGCCAAGATGGCTCACCACATACCTAGCAAGTGGGTACCATTGGCAGAAACTCAGCTGGGACGATGGTCCTGGAGCCTGAATTGGCCTCCATTTGGACTTTCCATGTGGCTTCTTGGACTTCCTCACAGCATGTCTGCTGGGTTCTAAGAGAAAAGAAGCAGAAATTGCCAGTCTTCTTAAAGGCCAGGCCTGGAACTAACTAGCACAGCATAACTTCCACGATCTTCTTCTTGTCAAAGCAGTGATAGGCCAGCCCGGATTCAAGGAAGTGAAGAAATAGACTCCACCTCTCCAAGAGGGAGTGGCCTGTGCACAGAAGGAAAAAATGGTTGGGAACCACCTTTTGAGACAAGTTACCACTGAAGGGTCTTTGCGACCCCTTATCTTGTCCAGTAGAGGAGATGCTCAACAAATATTTCACATTTCCTGAACTCTTAAGACCTGGAACGTTCATCTAGCAAAGCATCGCTTGGATTGCCGTCTTGAATTGTGAGTAGACTTTCCCCCTGTACTCTGATTAGTTATGATATTCCAACTAAACGGTAAGCTCTTTGAGGGCAAGGCTCCTAGCTACAAGATACATTTTTGTATTCCCCCCGCCCCGAGAGATTTACACATAGTAAACCGCATAAACGTGCAGCACTTGATTTCCTTTCCTCTGACAGCCCTGCCACCGGGAAGGGAACATAAGAGCTGCTTTCACTGAATTTTTGTACCACGCGAGGCTCGCTGGGCTCCAAGGAAAACTCGGAAACAGTCCCTTTGTTTCCCAGAGTGGGGCTCAGAGCCATCCAGGGTGGGGGGGAAGCACAGTGAAGAGGCTGTGGCCTGGAGGGCGTGTGGAGGAAATTCCATTCTAGACCCTTACTTCCGAAACTGCTCTGGGATTAGCCCGGCTTTGTGCCGGCCCCAGTCCGGAGGGGAGAGAGGCCAGGCCCTAGGTCATAAAAGCACCAGGAAAATACAAATACAGGCCCCGTTACAGCCCTGAACAGGAGGTTAAAGGATTTGCTGTGTTGTTTGTTTATCCCGCAGACTGAAGCCAATTATACCAATTACTTTTTTTAAAAAAAAGCTTACTAGTGATTGTATTCTAAGTTCATTTCTTCTCAAAAATGGGACTCTACACCACATTTTTTTCTTTGGCTCCAAGGACTCAAGCCCAGTCTCTGAGGCAGGGAGGGCGGCCCTGGGGTCAGAGGTCAGGGGCCCCCTGATTGTTCCCAAATGCGCTTCCATGTAGCCATAGATTTGAACTTTGCGTTGTTGCTGGGGCCCCCGGTAGGGGGCTGCAGGGGAGGGGAGAGCCTGGGGGAGGCCATCTCTGCAGTTCAAAGGCAGCCGCTCAGGCAACACTTTGCTTGGTTTATGGTTTCAATCCTTGAGTCAGTCTTGAACTCCATCCCTGAGGGGCTCCCGTGGGTGAGAGGTAAGGGGTGGGGTCGGGACGGACACTCCTTTAACCCAAAGCTGCCAGCCTTGTGGACCGACCATGGCTTCAGAGCCGGAAAACCCTCAGAGGCTGAAAAATCCCCGGATTGCTTGCAGGAACCCAGGAGCGTTTGCCCACAATGCCGGTAAAGGATGCCCCTTGCCCAGAACCAACCGAGAGCTCCTCCCCGCCCAGCCCAGGCAGGACTTTATAAAGTGCAGCTGAATGAAGGGCACTGGGGTTCAGAGATGAACCCCAAGCTCTGGCCTTACCCAAGGGTAGGGTTTGCTCGATAGTGCAAGTTGAAGAGGAGGTGAAAGGTCCCAGACCAGTCCGCCAAGACAAGCATCTCCACGGATACCTGAAAATCTACCATAAATATGATGTACTTGTATATTTATTGACTTCAAGGGTGTGTTAACATATATGGTTAAGGCAAGAAAGCAAGCTACAGAGTAATATATAGTGTATGGCCCCATCTATCTACGCACACACACAGGGAAAATGTGGGAGAATACACATCAAAATGTTGGCAGTAGTATCTTTTACTGGTAGAATTTCAAATGATTTTTTTCCTTTTATTTTTCTGCATTTTATAATTTACTTACACTATTCATGTTCCTTAATTTTTTTTCAAAGCGGAAAATCTATCGTTTGTGAATCATTTCTTTAGTTCAGTGTTTTTCAAAATGTGATCTAAAAACACCAACATCAGACTCAGAAAGCCTGCTGAAAAGGAAGATCCCTGCGTGTAATTCAGCCCTATCGGGTCAGAATGGGGCCGGGGGAGGAGTGTAGCCTGAAAACCAGCATTCTAAACACCCTCTCCAGGCAATTCTAAGGGAATGGAATCCACCTGTGTGGATGTCGGCTCTCTAAAGGTTCTGGCTCCACTGTGAGCCATCTCAGGTGGGACCACTCAACCCCTCGGCCCTGGCGGACCCTTCTCCCCTCCCTCCCTCCTTTCTCTAGGTCCTCAGGAACCAGAAACAGCCCATCAACCCTGACCGAGTAGCCCTGGCCCTGCCCCTTCCCTTGACAAACAGTCCACAGGCAGAGCTTCCCAGCACCATTATCCCCCTCTTCCCCTTGCTCTAGTCTTCTCTTTTGTTTCACTACACTCTTCTTTGGCTAGAAGAACTGACAGCACAGGGTGATTTGCATAATTATATATGTCAAGTTAGACTAAAGCTGGAAACCAAATTAAGTTATGCCAGTGGGCAGCAGGCATAGCAGAAGAATCACAGGGTAAGTCTGACCCTGCTCCTTGACACACATGTGATCTTAGTTTGCTTATTTAACCTCTCCAAGCCTCAGTTTCCTCAGCTGTAAAATGGGGATAGTCATACCTACCTCTTAGAGTTGTTGCAAGATTTAAAATTAAGATCACACATATATGCAAAGCATCTGGTGCATGGTCGGTACCCAGGGAAAGCAGTTATTACCAATATGAACCAAGGAACTCATGAAGTCTGAGACAGCCGTTCTCACACTCCCCAGGGAGGTTAGTAATAATGCATGTTATTAAGTCTTCCCCCGAGATATTCCAAATTAGTCCCTCCAAGGAGAGGCCCCAGGAAACTGATACTTACAAGTATCCCAGGTGTTCTGATCACACTTTGCAGGTGGTCCCTGATCACACTTTCAGGAACACTAGTCTAAGATTTTCACCAGCAAAACAGAAATAACTACAACTACCAAATTCCCCAGCTTGTTCACACTTAAATAGTCAGTCATCCACACTGCCCATCACAGGTTGGCTGAGGTTTGGCTAATGTAAGCTGGCATGGTTCCAAGCTGGGATCTGGGTCCAGGTCTGCTCCACATGTCTCTCATCTTTCTTAGACCAGCAGGTACTCAAGGTATGTTCTCCTCAGGCCACACTTTGCTAACATTCCATTGGCCAGGCCAGCACATGGCCACACCCACACCCCCTCCCCGTGGGGGGGAGGGACAGATATATTCTGCCTCAGAGACATGAGTGAAAAGTAAACACTTGTTTCTCAAAAGCAAATCCAGCCTGCAGCCTCTTTTTGTACTGTCTGCAAGCTAAGAATGGCTTTTACATTTTTTAGGAGTTGTAAAGAAAAACAAAGTGAATAGGAACAGAAAACTATATGTGGTCCACAAAGCTTAAAATATTTACTACCTGTCCCTTTAAGGAAAAAGTTTGTTGATCTCTGCTATAAGCCATCAAAATGTCAAGGGTTTTTGTTGTTGTTGTTGTTGTTTTTATATAGCATAACTGCACAAACAGAGGGGCAGTTGTTTTGTTTTGTGTTTGTTTTTAAGTTAAGAGGGATTTAAAGCTGTTTCTAAGCCACGGAGTAGGAACCAAGACGGAGGAGTAGGGGAACCACTGAAAAAACAAGAGAGGGAAGTTATTTAAGGGAGAATGGTCTTGGAGGAGAGGGGGCCAGCCTTTTCTCTAAAGATCTGGTCCAGTGGAGAAGAGGGTGGGGTGAGAGGGGTGGGATCAGGTGTGATGTTCTCAAGGAGAAAGAAAGGACTAGGGCTTCCCTGGTGGTGCAGTGGTTGGGAGTCCGCCTGCCGATGCAGGGGACACGGGTTCGTGCCCCGGTCTGAGAAGATCCCACATGCCGCGGAGCGGCTGGGCCCGTGAGCCATGGCCACTGAGCCTGCGCGTCCAGAGCCTGTGCTCCGCAACGGGAGCGGTCACAGCAGTGAGACTGCCAAAAAAAAAAAAAGGACTAGATAGGATTGTCCAGGGGCAGGAATACCCAGCTTCTGGGTGTCAGGAAAAATTGCTAGACTTAGGAATGGGCAAAAGAGAATGCTGGTTCCTTGCAGTAGAGTGCTGGGGGGTTTCTAGCAGACTTTCCAGGGATTATCTGACTCCATTTAGTGTGCACCTTGGTTTTTGATGGACTAAGCTACTTAACAACTCTATAGGGATAGAAGTTAAGTTGCAGAAAACTGACAACACAATTTTTTTTTTCTGTTCACGGCAATGCAAACGAATTATGTCCTGAGGAGAATACAAACCTCTGTAAGTCAAATTCTCATTTGAGCCAGTTTGAACATCTTACTAGTGTTCACATTAACCAATGAGTTAAATAAAAATCGTTGACCCTTGTCTATTTCATAGTTGTATGAAAGTCATAATTTTACCACTTAAAAAAAGGATCTTTTAGCGAAGTCTAAGGCACCTCATTTGACAGTCACTATAACCCTGTACGCCCATTACTACTGTCATTGTTATACCCCATTTTGAGGATGACATCACTGAGGAACTAAGAGCTTAAGATTGGGAGTTCCCTGGTGGTCTAGTGGTTAGGATTCGCCACTTTCACTGCAGAGGTCTGGTCTGGGCACGGCCAAAAAATTAAATAAAAAAAGCTTAAGATCACACAAGCTCACACAAGCAAAGAGTGACAGAGTCAAGGCTGGGACTTCGGGTGTCTTCTGGCTCCAAATCTCCCATTCTTTCTGTTAAGTTAAAAAAAAAGACACCCTATCACACTATTTATGTGCTCATCATTGACGAGCATAGGAACTGTGATTTAGTAAACAAACGGACCTAACATTCTTGGGTGCATGAAGGCTCCTGTGCAGATGCTGAAAAAGGAGTTACAGATGTAACTGCTTGCCCTGCCAAAGACAGACAGCATTTGAAATCAATAAGACTGCAGCTGAGTACCAGCGCCAACAGGAAACTGGTATCTGATTTTTTCTTCCCTAATGGATCATCAACTGAAAATTCTCAAAAGTTGAATATCTCACAAGTACTTTCCAAAGTCTTCATTGTTTTCTTTCCACCTCAGATAAACCCCCCCCCCCCCCCCAGGTATGTTGGCATTTCAGGAGGTTTTACTCTAAAGCATTCTGCATTTTTTCCCAGCATGACCACTCCTTTCCCACAAGATGCCCAACACTGAATGAACACCTGTGGTGGATAAGCTCACTATTCCACAGGGCGCTTTACACCTACACAACACTCCGTAAGCTCTATATTCATTCAGTCAGCGAATATTTATTATGCAAGTAAGATAATGTTAGTGATACAAATTTGAAAATATGCAAAACAAAACAGAATCTCTACCTCAAGTAGTTGAGTCCAGTGGAGAGCCTTTCAGGCAATCAGACAATTACAGTACCACATACCAGTCAAGGTGTGGTGGGAGCATGGAGAAACCAGTTCCTGAGTGTTTCAGAGCATCACAGAAAGTGTAATAGAGCTGGAGTTTGCACTGAGACTTGAAGAATAAGGAGGTTGCCTAGAAGAGAGAGGAAGAGGTGTCCAGAGGCTTCTAGATGGAGAGAATGCTCTAACAAAGGAGAAGAGAGAGCCCAGGGTAGCTAGGAAGCAGAAAACAGCCCAGAGTGGCTGCAGCTATCAGTACGGAGGGAAGAATTCCAAATATGAAACCGGACAGGTGGCCAGGAGCAAGTGGTGGCAGGCCCACGATGTAGAAACTTCCCTGCAGGCAGCAAATGAGCAAGCCATTGCAGCAAGGCTGAGCACACATCCTGCACGAAACTACTCACAGGATGCCTTCAAGGGAAGGCAAGGGCACCTTCAAGGAGATAATCATACCCAGTGACTGAATCAGCACCAGGTCCATCCTCAATTTCCCACCCATGTCCAAACCCCAAGATAGGTTCCATGGTGCTTGTCTTAGTGTGTTCAGGCTGCTACAGGAAAATACCACAGACTAGGTGGCTTATAACCAACAGACATTTATTTTTCACAGTTCTGGAGGCTGGAAAGTCAAAGGACAAGGCCCCAGAAGACTCAGTGTCACAGATAGTCATCTTTTCGCTGTGTCCTCACATGGCAGAAGGGACAAGGAAGCTATTTCAGGTCTCCTCCAGAAGGATACCAATCCTACGTGCGCGAGGGCTGCACCTTCATGACCTAATCATCGCAAAGCCCCACCTCCTGACACCATCATCTTGGGGGTTAGGATTTCAACATATGAATTTGGCTGAGGGCGGGGACGTGTGGGGGGTGGGGGGTGGGGGGGGACACAAACATTCAGCCCACAGCAATACTCAAGTGAATGAAAGCCAAGAAATGGATTTGTGCAGTTGTAAATATCTTCTGTCCGTGGTCTGAGTCTCCAATCCTTCACCTCTTAGGCTGGGAAGGAAAAGGGCAAACGTTCGATGAATCTGAAGGAGACACATAGTCATGGCAAAGGAAACTGTTAAGTGGTTAGGACTCCTTGCGCTCACCACCTAGGGGCAGGGTTCAATCTGTGGTCAGGGAACTAAAATCCCATAAGCCACATGGCATGGCCAAAAAAAAAAAGGCAGGCTGTCAAAGTGGCAACATTGCAAGGCAAAAGCCAATGGATGTTTTCCCATTCATTTATGGAGGTCTTTGGAGACACTAATTGGAAGGATGCAAATTAACCCCTGGGAGAGTGTTGTTTCTGGGGGCCTCTCAGGCCACGCATTAATAAGCATTGTTTCCCTTCCCGCTCCCATCTGCCACTGCCCACACCACCCCCTACCTCCCACCCTTCAGAGAGGGAGAAATCTGCAGGAGGTGCATTTTCTTCACTGACATCCTCATCCAATGGGGTCCTGGGGAAGAGTCTGCAGAGATTAAAAGAGGAGGAATGAATCTCTCCCCAAGAGAGGACCTGCCTCAGCTGGCTGACAGCTTAATCTCCCCTGGGTTCCTGAACATTCCTTTTATTTTAATGTACTACCTTTTTATAACGTACTGTTGAAAAGAAACAGAATTTTGGATAATTGGACAGTAGCATCATCTTTTACAGCAAAATAGAGACAGTCTATTAATAGTATCTGTGATAAACACTGTAGGGGATAGCCCATTCATTTTTAGCAACAGGTGGCATTTTCGTCCTTATATCCTTTCCTTAACTAAATTCTCACTTCTTGATTGTTTTCCCATTGATTTTGACAGCAAAAAGAGAGAGGGAAATTGCTCCCATATGCATAGCCATCCCCTCCCAGAGCACCTTTGGGGCCCCAGGACCACCTAAATGTTGGGGTTTATGTTATAGCTGCAGCCACCCACCTCATCCCTGATGCCATGGCTCATCATCACAGCCCATAGCCCCCTCTCTTCTCAGAACATCTCAGTAGTGATTTTTCCATGCCCCAATTTAATCCTGCATTTCTCCGCACCAGCCTGCATTTGTTGTCCCCACAAGATGAAAGATTTTGAAGGCAGCGACAGTGTCTCTATATTATGCAGCCCTACGTCCACCACTGACAAGGTTGTACTAGTTTCCATTGCTGTGTAACAAATGCCACACACTTAGCCACTTAGAACAGCACCTATATATTAACTCACAGTTCTGTAGGATAGGCTCAACTGAGTTCTCTGTTCTGGGCACCACAAGGCTGATAACAAGATGTCAGCTCTCCTGGGCTCTGGGGAAGAAGTCACTTCCAAGTTCATTCAGATTGTTGGCAAAACTCAGCTCCTTGCAGCTGTAAGACTAAAGTGCCTGTTACCTTGTTGGCTGTCAGTTAGGGGTCACTAATTGCTCCTAGAGGCTGCTCTTTGGTCCTTGCATGGGACCCCCTCCATCTTCAAGCTAGCAAAGTGCGTCAACTCCTTACACTGTCAGTCTCTCTGACTTCCCCTCGCAGCGCTCAGCCAGATAAAACTCTGTGCTTTCAGTGGGCTAATGTGACTCAGTTAGGCCCACCCAGATAATCTCCGTGTTAACTCTAAGTCAGCTGATTTAGTAGCCTTAATGACATTTGCAAACTCCCTTTTTGCCATGTAATGTAACACAATTAGGGCATGATGTTGCATCATATTCCCAGACCCTGGGATTAGGACAGGAAATCTTGGTGGGGGCAGGGGCAAGGGGGCATTTTATGATTCCTCCTACCACAAGGGTCTCAGAATACACAAAAGCGCAAGCACTGTTGGAGGTAGGATCTCCACCCGTGCAGTTTCTGCCCTCATCCTAAGCATGACAAATGCTGACCTGGCCTCCTGACCTGCTGACAACTATGTAGACCTAACTGGGCAGCATGATCCCAATTCGGGCACCTCACATACACGGCAGAGGGAACTGAATGTCCCCAACACCCACAGCTGATCACTTCTAGCAAGTCCAGGGCTTATATAACCGACAAGCTCATCAGCCACATCAGAGACTTTGCTCTCCTAAACTGAGACCAAGACGGTTCATGATCTTTCAGCTTTAAAAGATGCTCATTTCTCCTCCCCTAGAGCTTAGACCTGGGCTGGATTGGGGTCCTTGCTTGATAGTAAAACTTCTCCATTCACTTCTCAACCCTTTGTTTTATTTTGGCCATGCTGCATGGCTTGCAGGATTTTAGTTCCCCGACTAGGGATCGAACCCACGCCCTCGGCAGTGAAAGCGCAGAGTCCTAACCACTGGACCACCAGGGAATTCCCCTCAACCCTTAGCTTCTCAGTCTTTTCTTGTTGTGACCAGAAATCCCACTGCCCCCTGATCTGATCTCCTTTCACCCGTTGTGTTCTTTAATCCGTGCCCATGGCTCCCTCCCTCCCTTCTCGTCTCTTCTGCAGCTCCTGAAAGTCTTTTTTCTCCTCCACCTGCAGG